TTTGTTTCCTTTTTCCCATCCAGGATGCTACATCACATTTAGTTGTAATGTCTCCTTAGGCTCCTCTTGACTATGACAGTTTTCAGACTTTCCTTGTCTTTTTTTTTTTTTAAAGCTTTTATTTATTTACTTTTAGAGAGAGGGGAAGGGAGGGAAGAAAGAGAGGGAGAGAAACATTTGTTACCTCTTACAGGCTCCCCACTGGGGATCTGGCCCACAACCCAGGCATGTGCCCTGACCAGGAATCGAACCAACGACATGCTGGTTTGCAGGAGGACCCCAAGCCACTGAGCTACACAAGTCAGGGTGCCACTTTCCTTGTTTTTGGTTACCTTGATAGTTTTGAGGAATACTGGTTAGGTATTTTGTGGACTCTCCCTCAGTTGGGATTTGTCTGGTGTTTTCTCATTATTAGACTGAGGTTAAGGGTTTTGAAAAGAAAGAATAGAGGTAAAATACCATTTCATCACATCAAGAGTACATACTCTCAACATGATTTATCTTTGACCTTGATCACCTGGCTGAGGTAGTGTCCACTCTAAAGTCACCCAGTCCCTCCTTGACACACCATGCACTCTGGAAGACATGTGCAGCCCACATTTGAGAATAGGGAGCTATGCTCCACCCTCTTGAAGACAATATTTACATTAGTCTTTTGGAAATTTTCTGCACAAATTTGTCTCTTCACCCACTTATTTATTTATTTATATCAGTACAGATTAATGGGTATTTATTTTATACTTTGTGTTATAATCCTACACTATAATACTTTATTTATTTTTGTTGCTCAAACTGTCCCATTTTTGGCCATTGGGAGCTCCATCAGTGACTCCTCTGTCTCTCTGAGCTGGCCCCATCATGGCAATTTTTTTTTATCCTCACCCATGGATATTTTTTCACTGCTTTTAGAAAGAGAGGAAGGGAGAAAAGAGGGGAAAGAGAAAAACATTAATGCCAGAGAGGAGCGTTGATTGGTTGCCTCCGTGACACACCCAGTCCCAGGATTGGGGATCAAACCTGCCCCCTTTAAGTTATGGGATGACACTCCAAACAACGGAGCCACACCAGCCAGGGTTGTACATTTTTTAAAATCACTTCCTTCCTTGCTAGCACTGCAAGATGTTCCAGCCATATCTTGTAAATTTCCTGCCCCAGTGCTAAAACCAGACATTTCTTGAAGCATCCCCATTCCTTTTATTAAAGAATGACACTAGAAACCAAGGTCTGAGTACTAAGTGTGCTTGCTGCCACTAGGTGCCATTACAGCTAGGCTCTCTCAGCTGATAGAGCAAGGAAATATGTGTACTAACCCATATCTATAAACATCCTGATTTGTAAATATCTGTATCTGCATAAACATGAGTTTATTATCATGTTTCCACCTCCAATCTATTATTGCATAGAACATTCTAGCTTCAGCCCTAGTTGGTGTGGCTCAGTGGATTGAGTGGTGTCCTGCAGACCAAAGGATTGCAGGTTCACTTCCCAGTAGAGGCCACATGCCTAGGTTGCAGGCCAGGTCCCCAGTAGGGGCATGCGAGATGCAACCACACATTTATGTTTCTCTCCCTCCCCTTCTCTAAAAATAAATAAACCTTTAAAAAAAGGAAAAAAAGGAACATTCTAGCTTCATCCCTTTGTTTACCTGTAAACTCCCACTCCAACAGTGAGAAACCTGGCTCCAGCCATCTACTTAACTGTTCAGTTCTAGTGCACATGTATAGATGTTAATAGTACAGCCATGGGACATGTCAACTAAATACACGATCAACTGTATCAAGTAGAGTACAGTATTTGTGTATAGCTCCTTTTGTCATTAATCTTACAGTTTCCACTATATCCAAGTTACTTAGGTCAGAGAAATTATTTTATACATTTGGGTTAGATTCTCTGGCTACATTCTTCATTTCATCCTGGGATCTCCTGACTTCCTAAATGATATGTTTTTAGTTTGCATATATTAATTTTTACTCTTCGTATTGTAAAATTCTATGGGTTTTGGCAAATACAGTATCACACAGCCACCGTTAGAGCATCATACAAAATGGTTTCACCATCCTAAAAAAAATCCTGTACTTTTTGTTTTTGCATGTAATAAAATTTATTTTTTTAAATTTACTGTATTCTGACATTATCCCTTGTTTTGTTTTTGTTTTCAATATTTTATTTCTTTTTTAGAGAGAAGAGAAGGGAGAAAGAGAGGGAGAGAAACATAGGATCAGATCGGTTGCCCCCAACTGGGGACCTGGCCTGCAAGCCAGGCATGTGTCCTGACTGGGAATCGAATCAGTGACCCTTCGGTTCACAGGCTGGTGCTCAACCCCTGAGCCACACCAACCAGGACTTGTCTTGTTTTTTAATAGTAAGTTTTATTTTATCCCCACCTTTGATTAGTTAGGTAATTGTATATTGCTTTTCTATCTAGGGACTTAGCAAAACTTTCATCTTGCCTTACCGTCTAACATTAACTGACACTTTGCTTTCTACCAGCACAACACACAGACTAGTACTCTAACTCAATTTACCAAACTGACTCCTGTGCTGCTGTTACATATTTTAATCCCGTTTACGTATTTTAAACACCATCATGCACTGTCATTTTTTAGAGTCAATGTTTATTTAGATTTATGCACATATTTGTCACTTTCGTTGTTCTTCTTTCCTTTCCTTCTCCTTTTTTATGACTGAAGATTCTTTTTAGAATTTCCTTTAATGTGAGTATGCTGGTGATGGACTCAAGTTTTTGTCTGAAAATCTCTTTGCCTTCAATTTTTAAAAAGATTTTATTTATTTATATTAGAGAAGGGGAAGGAGGGAGAAAGAGAGTAAGAGAGACATCGATGCAAGAGAGCATCCATCCGTTGCCTCTCGTACCTACCCTGACCAGGGACTGAACCCACAACTTAGGCATGTACCCTGACCAAGAATCGAACCTGTGACCTTTTGCCTTGAAGGACGACACCCAATCAACTGAGCCACACTGGTCAGGGCTTTACCTTCATTCTTGAAAGATATTTTCGCTGGGCTTTGTATTCTAGACTGTAGTAATCTTTAAACACAGGGAGGATGGCATTCCACTCTTCTGGCTTCCAGTTTTTGCTGTTGAGTTGTAAGCAGTAGCCTGTTGCTTTTCTGAACATAAGCTGTCTTTATTCTCTAGTTGCTTTAAAACATTTTCTCTTTGCTTTTGCCTTTTTGCAGAGTGCAAGTTTATTTTAATTCGTTGGGTTTCTTGAATCTGTGAATCAATGGTTCTCAAGTCTAGATAATCCTGGCATTACTTCTTCAGATTGCTTCTTCCCCTTTCTCCTCTCCTAGGATTCCAATTAGACATGTTAGCCCAACTTAGTCTCTTCAGGATTTTCCATCCTCATGATTCCAGGTTTCATTCAGTAGAGTTTTTCTGACCTGTTTCTATAGTCCACCACTTTTTTCCCCAGCTATATCTAATCTATAAAACTCATCTATTGAGACCTTCACTTATTATATTTTTAAAATTTCATTTATTTTAGAGAGAAAATGGGGGAGAGAGAGATTTATTTATTGAACCACTTTTTATGCACTCACTGATTGCTTCTGGTATGTGCCTGACCAGACAAGAGAGCAAACCTGCAACTTTGCCATGTTGGGTCAATGTTCTAACCAACTGAGCCACTTGGCCAGGGTCATTTATTTTATTTTCCTAGCTAACATTTCTATTCGGTCTTTTTTCAGTTGTGCTATGTTCATTTTTGTAGTTTCAGGTCTCTGCTGAAATATCCAAGCTTGGCTTTTATCTTCTTGAAATACTAAGCAGTTTTCATTTGTATATAAATTGCTGTGGGTCTGTTTATTGTCTGTCATTTCTGTTTGGTTTTACTTATATTACCTCATCTCCTTAACTGCTTAATTTTTATTGTGGTTAATGTTATATTTGAAAAAAATATTATTATAATACTTTTGAGGTCTAGGTTGATGATGTTTCTGGAAATTTCTGCTTGACTTTACCAACCATCTGGATATGCTAGCAATCTGGGATCATCTTTTCCCTAAATCCGAGCCTTGAGAATTTCTGGACCACCCAGAATGGTGAGGCTAGGTTGTAGAATACGAGGGCTGGCTTACTTCCAATTCATCCTTAGGGGTCCTAGTCCTAATGTTGGATCTTTCCCAGCAACCCTATCTTTAGCTGTCCCCAGATTCCAACTTTTTGTTCCTCCAACTCCCTATCCTTCAAAGCCAGAAATCCTCTCAGCAACTTTTGCTCAAGTGGCAAAAGCCCCCAGGGTCAAAAGTAGCCTTTAGGGTCATTTTTCCTTTCAGATTCCCAATCTTGTTGGCCATTTGATGCTTTTCAGAATTTTAAAATATATATGGCACCCAACTTCTACTATTTCTAGTGAGAATGTTGGTCTGAAGCTTCCAGACCACCATGTTCAGAAGGGGAGCTTCCTACCATGGGAGGCTCATATATCTCAGACCTCTGGGCCATCACCTCACTATGCAATAAAACCTCACAGACGTGAAAAGACTTAAGTTCACACAATTAGTGGCAGAGCCAGATCTAGTCTCAGAGCTCAAGACTAAGAACTACTAAACTCCACCTGTATAAGATCTGGATGCAAGGGTTTGTTTTCTTTTGACCTTTTTACCTGCATAAGGAGAGAGCAGTCTTGCCAAAAGATCAGAGGATGAAGTAATGACCTAACCATCTTCCCTACACCTTCACACATCCCTCCCCAGGCTGACCAATGCAGGGCAAGGAATCTGATATTCTATGGTCTGGGGGTGGGGAGTGGGAGAATGTAATCCCTCCAACTCCTAAATCATGGAATATAGATATCCCCGTGATTAGTTATCCCTCAACCTTCGATGTTTCTTAACATCTGTGGTAACTGAACCCAACTACAGATTCCTCTAGATCCACTTTATAAAAACCCTCTAAAACCGTGAAGTTGTCTCCAGCCAGCCTCTTCCCCAAGAAAACAAACACCAAGACACATTCACAACAAAGACCACACCATTTATTTACAAAGGCCAATGTGGGGCCTGAGGGAATGATGGAGGGAAGCCACGCAGACATCCTCTCAGGATTGTTCAGGACCCTTTCCCGCTTGGAGGAAATTCTGTTTCTCATGCCTCCATATTCTCAGCCATGAGTCCTCCAAGCAGCCGGGCTCAGTCTCAGAGAGGGGAGGTGAGATGAGCCTCCTCCACGCTCCGATTGAGTAATGTCCAATTCCAGATCAAAGGCGGCATTGCCACCCTCTCCTTTCCTTCCTCAAATAGAACTTTCCGGCCTGGAGGGAAATACTGAAGAACTCAAAGGGCAGGGGCTCTGGAGGGAAAGACCCCTCTACCATTCCCTGAAAGCAGTAAGGAGAGGGTTGAAAGGCTGCTGATCACAGTCCTGGCAGCTTCAGAAGGGGTATCTACACTACCCTTGTTACCCAGCGTCCAGAGGCCTGAGGGACCTAGCTCCCCGGGCTGTCTGTGTTCCTGCCCTAGACTAGATCTTTTGCCTACTTCTCTGGTGGTGGGAGCTCTGAACCAGAAATCAGCAAAGAACCCACCCTTCCACTCAACCCACATGCACCCACCCACACAGAGCCACTGCTGAGACAGACCCCAAACCACTTCATGGTATCTGAGGGTGGGGCTCAAGTCACCAGTATCTGGCGACACAGGCAGTCCTGGGTTCACGGAAACGTATGTGAGTGAGTACATAAGCATGTGTGTTTGAGGAAGTGGAGCCAATATGGCCCCTTGTGAGCCATAATGCTTAGCTTCATTGAGCCCCTTCCACTCAAGCTCCATTAGCAATCCTACGTCTCCTCTGCCAGGCCTGAGCCTGGGCTCTCCTGACTAAAAGGACAGTTAATGTGCCACTCCCTAACTGTCCACTCCAACTTCCAAGCCTTTTACTCAGGCTTTTTTGCCCATTTCCTTCTTCCAGAAATCTCATGCTCTCCTCCTCTGCACCAACCTCCTTTGGGCTGGTCCGGGGCTTGTTAAGTCCTTGTTCAGAGGGCTGTGTCTGATCTCCTCCTTCCAACAGGGAAGAGAGGCATCTTCCTCCCCCTATAAGTCCCCACAAATCCCATTAAAAAGTTCTGGATGAAGTGACCAGACTACGGGGTGAGGTGGAAAATCCCAGCCTGCTTCACCTGCCCCTCGTTCAGAGTATGTAGTTCTACCATTGGGTAGGCTGGAGGTGAGAGGGGACAGGGGGAAAAAAGAAGGAAGAGAGTTACCAAAAGCAAACAGAAGACAGGCAAAACCCTAGCGGTACAGATAAAAGACCCTGTTCCAATGAGCCAGAGAGTTGGTTCCTCCTTCCACTCTGAGCAGCCACTGAGGGGTTTGAAGACTGCAAAGGTGGTTGTGAGGCCAATCAACAAAACTGAAAACCATTTAAATAGTTCTGCTCAAGCAGGACCAGTAGAGATGATTCTGTAAGCGATGTAGAAGTAGAACCAGAATTCTCAGACAGAGCTACAGGGTTGGGCTCTAAAGCCACCCTGCTGTCTGGAGAGGTCAAGGAGAAGACAGAAAGGATGATGAGCTGCAGAGGGAAGGAGCTGACAGGAACCAAAGGCTGGCATCGAGGGAAGGGAGAAGCAGGAGGCACGAGCCACAGGATTAGGAGAGTTGAGAGCCCAGGAGTCTCTCGATAGCCGCATTGATGTCCCCGCCTGTGGCAATCAGGGCCTGCAGGTTAGCCTCGCGGTTGATGAAGCCCATGGCGTTGAGCTGCTCTAGCTGCTGCTGGAATCTCACTTCCGGCGTCTGCACCTACAGAGGACAGGCCTTGTGAAGTGGGCAGAGGACCAACTTCAGAAGGTGGGGGTTTATAATGGAGAGAAGACAATCTGTAGGTCTTCTCCAACATCCTCAGAGTCAACAATGGAGCAGGGTGGGGTGAGCTGCAAATGGGGACCAAGGAGCCTGGGCCCCAAGTCACTAAACAAATACGTAATAAGTCAGGGGCGTCTTTCTTAAAATTTCAAAGTAACAGACAGGCTTCGGCCAGCCTATATTCCTAACTGCTTTCCATCGACAATCTGGAGAGGTTAACAGGTACTCAAAAACGCCAAGTGCTCCGAGATGGGTGGGATGCCTGAGATGCATGCTGAGCACTGCTTCTGTTTCCCGCTCCTAGTCATTGTCATACATACAGCCGTACTGGGGGCCACACAATGGCCCCAGGAAGGAAAGAACCTGTTTAATTTTAACCAACCAACCAACCGACATAGTTATTACAAAAGAGAAGGCTTTTCATATTTCACACTCCTATAAACACCTCCTGGAAGTGTTCTCCCAAGGGATGTTTAAGAAGCACTAGCCTTGCCCTGGCTGGTGTGGTTCAGTGGACTGAGTGCTACCCTGCGAACCAAAAGGTTGCCAGCTCGATTCCTGGTCAGGGCACATGCTGGGTTGTAGGCCAGGTACCCAGGTGGGGGTGTGAGAGAGGCAACCGATCAATGTTTGTCTTGAACATCCATGTTTCTCTCCCTTTATTCCTTAAAGGGAAAAAAGGAGAAGCACTAGCCTAGATCATGAACAGAAGACTCTCAGAACTGAAAGGAAACCAGCAATCACAGGACAGCTGGCTGTTGACAGGAAGAAAGAGAAGGAAAGGACCCCCCCCCGCCGAGGCTCACACAGACCACCTGCCATGGCACAAAAGCCCCACACAGGGCTCCATACTGTCTACAGAATTTAAGCTGGGCTGAACCTTGGTGATCGCTTGGTTCAGCTCATGCACCGAGCTGGGCATACTCACATTTCTGTTGAAAAGCTTTTCCCAGAAGAGTCACAGAGGTGAAGGGGCTCACCCAAGGTCTTCCCTACTACCCCAAACCCGCCCCCGCCAAACCCTCTAGCCTTGACTTTGTAGCCCAGGGCTTTAGTTACCTCACCTCCCATAATCCTCCTCTCTGATCTCAGAGATGGAGGGTGCTTTAATTCTCAAAAGAATCCCATGATATAAGCAGGAGTGGTAGGTATAAGATAGCAGTTAAAGCGTGAATCCTGGAGCCAGCATGCCATGCTCAATTTGAATCTTGGCTCCATCACTTACTAGCCTTTGACTAAGCACGCCAATTAATCTCTCTGGACTTTAGTTTCCCCCTTTTGTAACACAGAAATTATAATAATAGCTTCCTCACAGGCTGTTGGGAGGACTAAAGTAATCGAGACACTTAGTGCCTTGCACATGGTAAGTGCTATTACTATCCTCATCTCCATTCTACAGCTAAGGAAACTGAATTTAAGGAAGATCAGTAACTTGCCTGAGGCTAGAAAGTGGGAGACCAGGGTCTAAAGCCAGGTCTGGCCAATGCCAGCACCTGCTTCACTGTCTCCATCCTACCACAGGGATGGAAGTGGTAGTTCCAGCACTAGCCCCGCTGCCCAGTGTACCTGTGAGTTTCCACTTCCTGCCAAAAGCTGGATCATCTGCTGCATGAGCTGCTGCTGAGCACTAGAAGCCCCAGTTGGAGAAGAAGTGGCTGGTGGGGCTGGCGAGGAGGTTGGGGCTTCGGGCGCAGGCGCAGAGTTGCTGCCTGCTGAGGGTGTGGGGGTCCGGGGCATCCCAAAGGAGCCAAGGCTGCACAGGAGAGACCAAAAGGTGGGAGATGGGCTCTGAGAAAGAGACGGGCAGGTGGGATCTAGAAGGAAAAGCAGTTGAAGGAAACAGGAAAACAGACCCTGAGAGACACAATGGCTGCTCAGAGTGGCAGAGGGAGGGGCTGAAGGGAGAAGTAGCCAAAACCTTGCTGCCCCCCTACCCCCCACCCTCACCTGGGTATCAGCCCGGGGGCCTCAGTCTGCAAGGTCTGCAACCCCTGCTGGATCTGCAGCAGAGCCTGCATGGCACGGGGATTGGTAAGGATGGAGAGCGACTCCGGATTCTGCATCTGATGGGAAACGAAGAGGGAAAAGCAATGGGAGGTGGCAGGAGGCAGGTAGCAGCCTGAACCCCAAGTCCAGAGCCAAGCTCTGTTCCCTCCCTTAAGTTACACCCCTTGGGCTTCAGGGTCCAACCCTTGCCCTCAACCTCTATCCCTCTACGCTCCTCACTCACCTGCTGCAGGAAGACCGGGAGCTGCAGGCGGAGCTGCTCCTGAAGCTGGGGGTTCCCCGCAAAGAGCGGCACGTTCACCATCATCTGCCAGGGTCAAGGTAGTAGGGGGAGGCCTGGGCCTACCCACCCTAAGAATTCCCCCACAGCCTCAGTCTCCCTCGGCACCCCTACCACTGCCGGACATCTGGCCAGCTTTTCCAAGGACCTCAAAGTATCCTGAAGGCCTAAGTGGGACAGTGAGAGGAAATGGAACTATACTCTGGGCAGTGATGAGCACCAGGAGCCAGGCTGCTCAGCCCAGGGTCTGATGACGACGAGAGCTAACACCCCCAAGTACACAGCACCCACAATGTGCCATGCCGAGGTCAAAGCACTTTATGTGCATTATCTCATTTACTCCCAAGTCTTTGTGGAACTATTGTTATTACCAGTTTACAGATGAGGAAACTAGGTTAAACTACTTGCTCAGCTTACACAGCTATGAAGTCTTGAAGCTTCGGATACAAACCCAGGCAGTCTGGCTCCAGAGTGTTTTGACCACAAGGAACTGTTCCCCGTGCACTGCCCTGGAACCAGGTCCGTACCTGAGCAGCAAAATCAGGATTCTGGGCAAGTGTCTGCATCATGCTGCGCATGTAGGGGGCAGAGATTACGTTCTGCATCAGCTGGGGGTTCTCTGAGATCTGCTGGAGCAGGGCCTGCATTTCCGGGCTGTTGAACATCCCTAAGGCGAGGAGGAAAAAGCAAACCAAGCAGGAGAAAAGGGGTCCAGATGGAAACCAGATGCCTCATGTCAACCTACCTTACTTTAGACACTGAGTGGTTACAAAACCCAGAAAGGCAACAGTAAAATGGGCGCCCAGGTACGGGGGCACGGTCCAAGTCTCTCCTGGCTCCTGCTTCGGCCTGGCCCCTTTACCAACTACTCTGCTCAGAACAGCCAAAGGGAAACTGGGTCTCATTCATGCCCCTCTGGACTGTTGCTTCCACAAATTCAGATGTCAGAATTGGAAAGGATTTGACTAAAGATCATCTAAATCAATGGTTTTCAAACTTATCTTAGCAGCAGAGACCCTTTCCTCAAACCAAATCCTATGCATGTCAGTGGTCTGGCTGGAGTAGGGGCAGGAGGCCTGGAGCCTCTCCCCATTGGTCCTTCTTCATCCCAGAGACGGCCCAGATGCCCCAGGACTGAGAAGCACACTTTTAAAACCATGGGCCAGGTTCAAGTCCCTTATTTTATAAATAAGGGAACTGAAGCACAAAAGAGGGAAAAGGGTTTTTTCCCAATCAAGATGTCCTCCAGGGTACAGAGAAATCAGGGCATCTACTAAAGACATGCCCAGGGTCACATGTGCAGTCAGAGTCCAGATAAATCCCTAGGGTCTTGCGGTACATAACCTGCACCTGCGCACGTGGCAGCTCTGTACCTCCCTCTTCCCCAGCCTCACATCTGCCTGCCCCCAGTCTGCCCTGATTCCTCTCCCACACCCCCACTCCCGGGCTCACCCATTTATGCTGGAGAGTATTGCCCCTGCTGAAAGAGCTTAGAAGGTGGGGCCTGGCTTATGCAGGAGCCATTGCTTAGACCACTCCGAGCAAGCAACATCAGGGCTTGGGCAGAAACCACCACCCTCTGAGGGGTGGAGGGACCTCAGGCTGCAGAGGCCCCCCTGTGGCTTCTACAGTCTCATCTCTGTAACATTCTGAAACCAGTAGGAACCCCATTCAGTCCTGGGCCAGAGGAACTGCCCTGGTGACCCCACTAAGCTCCTCCCACCCGAGGACATACCTGACCCCAGGCTAGCCGCATTGATCCCAAAGGGGTTCGAGACTGTCGGGTGCACCTGGCTGGTCCCCGATCCTCCGGTGCCCTCCCCACCGGACCCGGGGGCCTGGGAGGTGGGGGGCGAGGGGCTCCAGGGGTTAGGGAGGGGCTCTCGATTCTCAGTCCGCAGAGGCTGGGAAGACGAGCTGTCGGAGTTCCCGGCCAGGGAAGAGAAGGGGTTGTTGCCAAACTGGGAGGAGGGAAAGGTTTCGGGTTAAGGACTGAAACAAATTGGGGACAAGGGCTATGCCCTTTCTTTCCTCTCATCTAGTAGCCTCCCCTTCCCCAGGAAAGGGAGAGAGATCTAAGTCCTTAGCAGTCCTCAGCTCAATTTTTAGCCCCACAATGGGCAGCTCCTCCCCTGTCCTGGGTGGGAGCTGACTGATGCTAATGACTGGATAACTGAACCCCTCAGATAACTGGAAACTTCCCCTCTGTCCTGGTGGCTCTTATATCTGGTCTCTAGTTTCCTCTGTGTTCTTCGGTACTTTACACACACCCTTCCCAGTATACAGAGAGATAACTGTGTTCCTCAGTTCTCCAGGTGCAGAGACATTGGACTCACCTTCACACACTGTTTCTGCCACTCAATGCAGATTTGCCTCTAGCCTCCCTTTTTCCAACCACCTCCCTCCCTCCCCAGAGCCCTCTCCCTCACTGCCTCAGACTCCGAAGTGGGGTCTGTCCCTCCAGGCACCACAATGGAGCACATCTCTGGCTGCGCACGTCCTCCCTAGACCTTCAATCTCCTCCTTCCCCCGCCCCACAGCCTACCTCTCCAGAGAGGCTGCTTCAGCTAAACAGCTCCTCTCAGCACCAGGTTCCCACTATGTCACTCGGGATTGTCTCAGGGTCTGGACCCACCATATGGTGTGCTGCCCAAGGGAGCACCTGCATCTCCTCCCTCGGGACCCACTAGCACCCAGGAAAGAGCTCTGTCCAAAAAGTGTGCTTGCTGAAGACCCTACTCTCCTTGCTCAGCCTCTCTTTCCTGAGCTCCTAGACAGTCCTGACCTAAGCTGGTCTCTGAGAAGCTCAGCTCCTCCCCATTGTGTGATTTCACATCCAGTTACTTTTACTGTTTATTCAAAGTGGGTCATGGGCCCTGGCCAGGTAGCTCAATTGGTTAGAGTGTCATCCCCATACACCAAGGTTGCAGGTTCAGTCCCCAGTCAGGGCACATAGAAGAATCTACAATGAGCCCTGGCTGGTGTGGCTCTCTGGACTGAGCACCGGGCTGCAAACCAAAGGGTCACTGGTTGGATTCCTGGTCAGGGCACAGGCCAGGGTTTCGGGCCAGGTCCCCAGTAGAGGGTGTGTGAGAGGCAACCACACACTGACGTTTCCCTCTTTATCCTCCCTTCCCTACTTTCTAAAAATAAATAAATAAAATCTTAAAAAAGAAAAAAAGAATCAACAATGAGTGCATAAATAAGTGGAACAACAAATTGATGTTTCTCTCCCTCTCAGTTCAATAAGTAAAAAAATAAGCAACAAACTTGGCCATGGGGACCAGGGCTGATCAAGGACTGTCCTGCTCTGAGCTGTGGTCCCTTCACCTTACCAGAGGCCTGCTTAGATATCATGGCCTGCAGGCCAGGGTTTGTGTGCCACAGCGTCCCTCTCTGTCCCTGTTTTAGATTTCCTGTTCTGGTAACTTGCCTAGCACCCAAGCCCACCTAGTTCTGGACCCTACCTCGTTCTTCGTGGTATACCTCTGTAAGGACTGAATCTCTTTTCCTGAACTCCCTAAAGTGAGAAGAGCTGCCATTTATTGAACATCTACTATGTGCCTGCTACATTTACTGTAATGTTTACAATATCCGTCCAATATGCCAGTTCTCAAAGTGTGGTCCTCGGACCCCTATGAAGTTCAAAACTATTTTTATAATTCTGAGACATTATTTGCTCTTTCCCACTTTCATTTTCTCATGAGTACTGAGTGAAGTTTTCCAAAGGCCACATGTGACATGTGACACTGTAGCTGACTGAATGCCGAAGCAGATCTGAGACTCCAGCTGTCTTGTAGCCAGACATTAAAGAGATCCACAAAAATGTAAAACAAGGCCACTCTTTCCTCTACAGTTTTGTTTTGGAAAACAAAGATATTTTCAACAGAATGTGCATTTATGTTAATGTATAAAGAACTTACTGTTATTTTTAAAAGAATTAATAAATACTTTTTAAATTTCTTAGTTTTAATTTCAGATATAGTGAATATCAATATATCTAACCCACAAGCACAACATCTTTTTGGGATCCTCAGTAATTTTTAAGGGTATAAAGGGATCCTAAGAGCAAAATGAGTGGGGAACCACTGCTATAACATAATGCCTCCATGTTGAAAATGAAGAAGCTAAGGCTTAGAGCTTAGGAAACTCACTTAAAATCACATCACTAGAAAATGGCAGGACAGGTTTGTTGATGCCAAATGCTATGTTCTTTTAGCTAAACCAGTGGTTCTCACATCTTAGTGTGCATCAGAAATTAGCTGACGTGCTTATAAGCCTCCTTCCACTACTTGATTTTTTCTTAACTGGGTGAAAACATTACTTTGGTATACATTTTAAATTAAATACTTAAATATTTAATGACTATCTAAATGAATCCCTTTAAAAAGTCATAGTTGAGCCCTACAAGCAGTTTCTAAAATTTGAAAGAGCAATCCCCAAAATAACCAAGATGTTAAAGAATAGGTGGGGCATTCGCTCCACTAGATGCCCAGACTTAAATAAGGCAATGGGGTATCACTGCAGGGACAGACAAACAGACCAGTGGGACTGCGTAGAGTCAGAAAGACACATCTCATTTGTGGACACCTGGTACAGGACAGAAGCAGCGTGAATAAGGAATCCGTTGGGATATCATGGGCCACTCAGGATATGGTATTTTTTTCCTTTCCAAAGTTAAAAATAGCATGAGGAGATCCCACTCTCCCACTGGTTGTGGGGGGCGGGGGGCAGGGGGTGTTCAGTTTGTGACAATCCATCAAGCTGTACATTTATGTGCACTTTTCTATCACTATATTATCCTTCAATAAAACACTTTTTAAATGTTAAACAACATAAGGGGACTAAATGGTAATGGAAAAAAAATAAAATAAAGATTAAAAAATATTTAAAAAGCAAGTTTAAAATTAGATGAACATCATGATATTACTTCTATTAGGCCGAAAAATATGCAAAACAAAACTATAGATTATTTATGGACACCTACATAGGTAATAAAAGAACCAAAATGACAAACACCAACTTCAGGGTGGTAGTTAGCTCTGGAGAAGGAAAAGAAGCCGTAAGGTGGGGGAGGGCTAGGAGAAGGCTGCTAGCCCTCCTATCTGTAATGTCTTATTTGCAAATATGAGATATGTCTAGGAAAATATATAAAACATTAACAATATTACTTAACTGGGTAGAAGAGAGGTGGTTGGGAGAACAAATAGAGGGCTCCCTGATGCATAATTTATTGACCTCATATTCCTTCTGTACTTTTAAAATACCCTTTTGTTTACTTTATGTACCTTTTGCATTTTGAAACATGTAAATGTGTACTGAATTTAATGTAAATTAAACTAAAAAAAAAAAAAGGAACCAAAAAAGGCACTGAAGCTACATATGGCAACATGTTAGGGCAACTTAGATACAATAGTATGCTCTATTTTTATCTATATTTCTTGTATATTTAGAAAGAATTCATAAAGCATTTTTAAAACTACATATTCCCAGAGGCTGATTCCAGAGATTGAGTCAATATGTAGCTCAAAGGTGGGGACCAGGAATCTTATCATGAACAAGCCACAGGTGATCTATGGACCGCACCTGAGACACTGTGCTGACATTGGCTACTTGACCCCAGGCCTGCCTCATAACCTTTGAGCTCCTGGTGCAAGAATTCTCTCAGAACAACGTCAAATCCCTTGGGCTCCACACCTTATCCACTTTCCTGGGCAACTCTGCTACCATCTGCCTTAGTGCCTCAGTCCCATAACAAGTTGGACCATCCCTTGCTATGCATTATAAGAACCATTTTGAAGCCAAGGCCCACCCTCAGGGGCTAGGGGGTGGGCTGGGGAAGGAAAGAGGAGCAGACAGCACCCCAGGCTCCCCTGGGTCTGGAGGTAGGGAATCTCCGGCCCAGACAGCCCCTGCCCACTGCCCCTTCCCCTGGTCCCACCTGTTCCCGAGCAGCACTGAACATGGGCTCCTGGATGTCTGTGTACATGCGGCGGAGGGCGTTATACCCCCCAGGGATGCTCTCCAGGTTGCTGAGGGCCCGGTCCTGATTCCGCATCATTTCCTGCATCATGGCTGGATTCCGAGCAAGCTCCATCGTCTGGTGGAGAAGGGAGAGAGACAGGATGGGCCCTGGAACCAGGGAAGCACCAAGCCTGGCAAACGGTGGGCCCTGAGGGGGAGGCCTGAATCAGGGCCAGGGTCCACAGCCCAGGATCTGCTCTGCAGTGCTAGAGAGGAGGGTAAACTAGACTTCCTGTACTGTCATCTTGGCTGCAACCCTGCTTCCCTGTGGGCATTCATTCCGGTTGGCTTTTTCTATTGTGGTACTATGACCCAGAAGTGGTGAGGACAGCAGCTTTCCTCCCTCAGGTTCAGGGGGTCCAGAGAAGTGTCAGCCATCAGGGAGCACAAGAAAATTGAGTAAGAATGCACATGAGAAAGGAGAGGCAGAAGAGAAGATTAACATTTACTGAGCACCTACTACATAGCTGCACTGGACTAAAGAATTTACAGAATTCAAGTCATTTAACCCCCACAATAGTAGTCTCAAGTAGGTATTTCTGTCCCTGTTTTGCAGATGAGAAAATAGACTCGGAGACTCACTGACTGGAGACAGTTAGTGGTGGAGCAGGTTTCAAGGCCACGTTAGTCTGTCTGACCAACACCATACTGTGCTTCCTAGTAAGTGACATGTTGAGAAGGGAAAGGATTCAAGCTGGGACAATGCTACCAACACCCTCTAACCCTCACCCCCAGGTTTTTCGCCTAAATTTGAAAAACATGATGGTGGCTTTCTCTTTAGAGCCAATGGCTCACTCTCAATAAGGGGCGGCCTGTGTCAACTCCAGGGAACAGCAGTACATGATAGAGAAAATGAGTATGGCTACTTCTTGTTTCCATCCAATACCTTCCCTGTCCTTCTTCCCAAATTTGCTCCACACTTGCCTCTTCTAAGATACTCTTATGTCTAAGACAAGACCCTGATCTCTTATCACGTAATCCAGTCATTCAGTGTTTATTGAGTGACTACATACCAGGCAATAGTCTAGGCAGTGAACAAAACAAGTGTAAATCCTCGCCCTAATGCAACCTATCTTCTGCTGAATCTAACACTGGTGTCCACAGGTCTGCTGAGGTTGTCTTTCCTTATCCCCTGGTGGAATAGGCCATGAGATGGAGCTCCCAAGACCAACACAAAACTGCCTCCCCTGGGTCTCCCTTAACCACTTGGCCCTTCCCAGCCACAATTGTCCCCAAACACCCTGCTGTCTTTCACTGCCAGGCCTTTGCACTTGCTATCCCTCAACCCTTAACACTGTTCTTTTTTTCTTCTTCCTCCATATTCATTCTTCCTCCCCTGGGTCTCAGCTTGGGTGACATCTCCTCTAGGAAGCTTCCTTGGAGCCCCAGGGTAGGGTCAAGACCTACTCTCTGTGCTACTGGGGGACTCTGTGACTATCTCTATGATAGTTCCAATCATGCTGTATTTTAATTGCCTGCCTTCTTATCCCATTTCCCTTTAAGACCAGGAATTCCTAGAAAGCTAGGCCTATGGCTCTCATCACCATATCCCAAATGTGCAAAACATGGCTGCTGAACAAATGAATGAACAAGTCAAGGTAGGACAAGGTGAAGAAAGGCCGGGCAGGCATGGCTGGGTGCCAGGTGCCCTCCACACTCCTGCTCCAACCTCTCTCACACCCACCTGCCTCATGAGCTCAGGATTGTTGAGCATGTGACTGATCTCAGGGTTCCGCTCCATCAGCTGCTGCATCTGTGGGTTGGCCATGATCATGTGGCGCATCAGGTCAGGGTTAGACATCATGTCTTGGACCAGAGGGTTCTCCATGATCTGCGACAGCATCTCGGGATTGGACATCAGTTGCCTCTGCATCTGTTGCTGCAGCTCCATGAAGTTGGCGGAGCCCAGACCCAGGCTGCCCAGGCCTAGGATGCCCCCAAAGCCAGCTGCGGGGAGGGGGCAGAGTCAAGACAGTCTGCTGCAGGAACCCTTCCCCACCTGGTCAGAGCCACTGAGTTCAGGTGTCCAGGTTGGGCCCCCTGTGCGTCTTGCACGTCCCTTTTCCAGTCATACCCGCAGCCGCAGCCCCAGCCATGATCCACCGCTAGCAGGGACATCAGCCTGCTAGACAGAGCCCTCTTTGGTGGGAGAGGCTGGGAGAAGGGCATCGTTTGAGCACAGAGAGGGCAACCACTGATGGCCTGTTGAATGAGCAAATCAATGTTCCCCAACTGGCTACTCTGGACCCACTTTTGTCCCTAACTATGATATTCTCACCCAGGGTTCCCCATTATCTCCAGCCCCATTTCTCCCCTCACTCTTAACCTTTGCCCATGCTCCCCTTATCTGGGAAGCCCTGTGTCCAGGGATCCTCCATCCTATCAGACCATGAGTGGGGACCATGTTTCTCCTGTCTCTTGGCTCTCCACCAATCCCCAGTCCCAAACAGGGCAGTGCCCTTCTCCCTAAGGGCTTACAGAGTATGGATGCAGTAGCATTGGGAGGGCCCTCCCCAGCCCCTGGGGAGGGACCCCCCCCACTGCTCCTCCGGCTTCCACTGCCAGCATCTGAAGAGGCACTGCCAGAGGTGGAGGGCTGGGCAGGGGTGGCAGGTGAAGCAGGCGTGGTGGAGGGTGCTGAGGCAGGGTCTGGAGTAGAGGGGGAAGAAGCAGTGGCAGCAGCCGGATCTTGAGCCCTGAGGACAGAGAAAGAAAATCCTAGTTTACATGAACTCAAGGAGAGGGGAGATAACCATCTCTGTCTGCTGTGCAACTACTGCCCCAACCCAGGCCGCATCCTAAGCAACACGGAAGCCGGGGTGGGGTGATGCTAGGGGGGCAGTCAGAAAATCAGACAGAGGGGAGGAGGAGCTAGTACCAACTGTCCTCAGGGCATTCTGGGAGACGTAAGTCAGGATCCCTTCCCCTGCAGGTGAGGATGATAAGCCTGCTTAGCAACCCATCCAAGAGCTACCTTCCTGGGCCTTGGCTTAGGCCCTCTAAGAGGCATAGTTGAGTGATGGGTGAGAAAGTATCAGATGGGGGAAAGTGATCCAATCAGAAGCTGGACCTGCTCCTCTCCTAAACTTACTTCTGAGGGGTCTTGATGACCAGATGGACAGTGAGCCCATCTTTGATCCCATGCTGGTTCAGTGTGTCCCCATCCTTGAGGATCTTGCCTGCGAAGATCAGGACCAGCTGATCCTGCTGAGCCTTAAACCTCCGGGAGATTTCCTCTTTGAACTGTGATCAAGAGGCAGAGGTCACTGCAAAGGTTGCCTGGACTCCATCCACCAGGGACCCTTCTTCAAGAGTCTTGGCATTCTTTTGCTCCCACCTGTAGTTGTGGGAAGTCCTTTCTGCAGTCTTGACTCCATCCCTCCAGCTGCAGTAAGCAGCTCCTTTCTTAATCAAGGAGATGGACCAGTGAGAGGCTCTTTTCTCAACTCTCCTCCACGGTCTCCCACCCCAGGAAATCCTTGCTGCTATCTGTCCCTCCCTCTTCAGTCCCTCAGCCCAGTTCCCTGTAAGGGTACTTCCTGGGCAGCACTCTCCACCTCAGTTCCTACAACAGCCTCGAACCCAGGCCCTGTCTCCCTCAGCTTCCTCTTCTCAGACCCCAAGTCTCTCTCCCTTCTTTATTCCCAATATGCTTGTAAAAACTACAACACGAAGGTCCCAGTTATTTCTAATGGCACTAACTATTCACGAATGAAGAATCTAAGTCCCACGAGATATACATTAATTATTATTTCTATTTTAAAGATGAGAAAAAAGAGGATCAGAGTGGTTAGGTAACTTGGCAGGGTAAACAGGACTCAAACACCCAAGCCCAGGCTCTTAACCAAAACACTGCCTCTCAATTGGAACAGATTTCAAATCCAACTTTGCAGGGAAAAGGATTTAAATTCTGGATGTAATCATTTAATAAGATTGGGCGGGGGCGGGGGCGTCAGTGATGATACTAAAGGCTGGCTTTGAAAATTAGACTCCCAAATCTATTACCCCTCCCCAAATCAAACCAAACCAAACATACGACTCTAAGTAAAAATAGTGCACTTGCTAAGCAAAGGCAGCTTCCAGATTCTCCCTTCCAACCAGAAGGCCTATCTTAGGCCCCGCCTTTGTGAAATTCTGGAGCAGCCACAGCGGGTGGCGAACATAAGCAATATTCCCTCATTCAATACGATTTTGCTGAACATCTGCACCCTGTGGAAATCCCGGAGGGGCTGAGAACCAAATGTAACCGCTTGGATTTGAAAGAGCAAGAAGGACCTGGGCAGAGAGAAATCCTCCCCTCAACGCCTCGGAGGCAGAGCACGCTGGGTGTTCTCGCAGGCGCACAGTAGGCGCCGCGAGCTCTCCGCTGCGACCCCCGGCCGCTCTCCAGGCTCTATACCTTGCCCGGCCCCAGCTCAGCCTCCACGCCTCGAACCCCGACCAGTAACCCGGCCGCACACTCCCCTCAAACCCAGGGTCCTTCCCCCTTCCCTGCGCAAGGTGGCCCCACCCCACTCTCCACCACGCCCCCAGTCCAGGCCACAAGGCAAACTCTGGCCTCCCTTCCCCAACACGCGCCAAGCTCCCCCAGATTACCCTCGCAGGACGCCCCCTACCAGCCTTTCCTCCCTTCCCGCTCCTCCAGGTGCCTGCTGGGCCCCTACCCGCCTCTCCCAGGCCCTCCCGTACCCCGACCGTCCAGAACCACCCCCTCTCTGAGTGGACCCCTCCTCCCCGCCCACCCCTGACCGTACTACCTCCTTGACCGAGGCTCGATCGCAGATCACAATTTCTTCCTTGTCTTTGGGGGTCTTGACGGTGACCCGAATTGGGGGCCTCGTCTCGGCCCCGCTCGGCTCCGCCATGCCGCCACCGCCACCCGGCCGCCCGCCAGCCCGCCCCGGCTCCTCCTCCTCCCCGCCCGCCCGGCTGACCCCGCTCGGCTCCGGTGCCTCCAACACTCTCCTCTCCCTCCCCTCCTCTACCCTCCCCTCGCCTCCCCTCGCCTCCCCTCTCCTCCCCTCTTCTTTCCAAGGCTTCGCCACCCTCTTTGAAAGAGCCGCAGCCACAGCGCCCCGGGCGGACTGGGGGGCCACTGCAGCGGAGTCCGCCCAGGGCTGAGCCTCAGGTCCCTCAGGCGGGACAGAGCCTTGCAGGGCCAACTGTCCCTGAGGGTACCCGGGGCGAGGGCGGGGGCGGAGGCGAGCTCTCCGCGGGAGACAGGGCCCACCCGAGAGGGACTGAGCCAAGACAAGGTCCCCTCTGACCCAAAGCTGCTCCTGCCCTGCCCCCTGCCCGGGTCATTCCCGCTGCGGGACAAAGGATTCTGTGTCCCTGCTTTCTCTCCGTTCCCTGCGATAGCTGGCTCAAATCCTTTCCAGTTCTGGGACCTCTGCCGACTTAGAGGTTGAATTTTCCCACTTCTAGACGTCCACCTAAAAATCTCATCTCTAGGATTGACTTCGTTACCCTGAGGGTTGTAGCCTGAATGAACTCTACGAAATACGGTTCCAGAGCCCTGCGTGGCCTTCCCGAGCCTTGGTTCCTCACCAGCATCTATGCCAGCACACAGAATTGTGCATAATGTAGAAAATTGCTTTGAAAATAACCAAAGGTGTGTCTGACAAATACAATATTTTTTTAAAATTACTGAATCGTGGATTGTTAAGCGGACTTGATAACTTTTCTCTCCCCGAAGGAATTAAATATTCTTCCAGTCCTTTTATTATTCCCGCTACCCACCCCGACCCGGCACAACTGCTAGGTCTTGCTGGAAAGGCCAACTGTAATTCCCAGGTGCCTCGCGAAGCCTCAAGGAACTACAATTCCCAGCGGCCCCGGATGTGTTGTGAGTCAGAACCACAAAGCCAGGCCGAGGGAACTACAACTCCCAGAAAGTTCCGGAGCGGGGCAGTACCGGAAGCGGCAGGCGGAGCCCGGCAGGAGGCAATTCGAGGGTCTGGGTGCAAAAGCCCAGGAATAGGAGTCGCAGGCATGCTGCGTCCCAAGGCTTTGACCCAGGTGCTAAGCCAAGCCAACACTGGAGGTGTCCAGAGCACCTTGTGAGTTCAGATCGAGGACCCGAGCGGCAAGCACAGGAGTGGGGCAGCGTGCGGGTCTCTGAGGGAAGGGTGGGGAAGGATCTCCGGGAAGGGAGGGGACAGCGGCTGGGGCTGCCGGCGTGGAGGGACCCTCTGGAAAAGGGAAATTGACGAGCTGGTTGCTCTGGTCACGTTCCAGGACACACACAACCCAGACCCTTGCTTTCTAGAGGCGTCCGTGGCGGGGCTGTGTTGGGAACCCAAGCCTTTTACACCCCATACTGAGCACGTCGCTATCCCTCCCTGTTCCTCGCCAGGCTGCTGAATAACGAGGGATCTCTACTGGCCTATTCTGGTTACGGGGATACGGACGCCCGGGTCACCGCAGCCATCGCCAGTAACATCTGGGCCGCTTACGACCGAAACGGGAACCAAGCGTTTAATGAAGACAATCTCAAATTCATCTTAATGGACTGCATGGTATGGAGAGAGGAGCCACTTCCTCCGTCCCCCAAAGGGATCCCCAGGGGGTGAACTGTATCCCGTCCCGGATGGTTGGGATCTTTGGAAGATTACTAAGAGTTGACCCCAGCAGCGTTTATAATAGGCAGGACCTTGTGCATCAAGTGGTGGTGAGGAAGAAGCCCTGGACCCGGGAACTGCTTGGGGTTCTGGTCTCAGCCAGCCACTTGCCATCCGTGGAACCTTGCATAAGTTTTTTAACCTCTCTGAGCTTCCTTACCAGAGCTCTAAGGCAGAAACAATACCCTTTTCCTACCTAACAGTGTGGTTGTGAAGATCAAATAAAAGAGAATAGGAAGTGTAGCGTGAGGTGCACACAAAGTGTTGGCATCCCAGATTCACTGACTTACAGAATCATGACAGAGTCTGCAAATCTTTCTCTAATTCATTCATTTTAAGAGAAAGGAGATTAGGTCCGGAAAGGGGAAGTAACCATTAGGTTGTGAACGTCTTGGACACAGAAACAAAATCACCTTTGTTCATTCAACATTTAGGTCTCTGTAGTGTTCTCAGGCCTGGGGGGAAAGTAGCAAACAGAACAGATAAAAACTGCAGACCTAATGAAGCTGACAGTTTACATGTTTTAAAACAAATATGTATGTTTTATTAACTAAGTTTGAAATACGTTTCATAAAACATAAGTGTAAAGCATAGTATGTTAGGTGTTGAAAACACTATGGAGAACAATGAAGGAAGAAAGTGAGGGAGAGGGGAGCATATTCCAGGGAAGTCTCACTGAAAAGGTGATATTTCATCATAGACTTGAAGAAAGTTGGCAAGCCATGTGGCTGTCTAGGAGGAAAACATTTCTGATATAGGGCATAGCTCGTGCAAAGGCCCTGAGACAAAAATGATGCCTGGTCAATGATCAACAAGGTTGGCGTGGGTGGAGGGGCATGAGAATGGGAAAGGTTGTTAGGGGATAAGGCTATAGAAGTGCTTTCAGCACCTACTTCCCCAGCACACAGTGGCTACCTAGTGAAAGTTTCCTGAACCAAGTTGAAAAGGCCCCAAGAGTGGAGAATTTCCACTGTAACTCAGCTGCCTACCTCTTTCTCACCACCAGCCCAACCAAGGATGCGTTTCAGTTTAGTTAATGACTCCTACTGGGTACCTAGCCTAGAGCTGGTGCTATATAGGGCAGTAGCTTTCAAACATCTCACCACAACCCAGGCATAAGAAATACATTTTAAGTCAGAGCCCAGTACACACATACACCCACAAAAAACAAAAGTTTGGTGAAACAGTACTAACCTTACGGCATGCAATGCGCTTCATGTCTCTTCACTTTTTCTTTTACTACTGATCAACCTCCTTAATTGATCTAACCCTGGGGTCAAACCCGCAGTTTGAAAAATATTACCATGGGAAAAGATGAGAAATATAAGGTGGATTACTGCTTTAAAGCCCTTTACGGCGTCTTTGGGGTGAACCCATAATGACATCACCCATTAGGATAGCCCTTTGCAGATACAAAACTCCTTCCTGTGTTCCAACACCCTCACCAACTGGGGCAAGATAGGGGTTACAGAAAAAGAAACTGAGTTTCTGGGAGGTTGAGTTTCCCAGGGTAACTTGGTTAGTAGGTAGCTGTGCTGAGGCCAGATCAGGACACAGAATCCCATGTCCAGGGCTGTGGCCATCGCACACTCCCCCCGACACACCCCCTCTGCCACCATGCTGAAGCTCCTGCCATGCCCAGGGCATGGAAGGAGGATGTGGTCTCTCTCAAGAGGACCCCTGAAGAAAGGGGATAAGGGTGCCAAGCAGAACATCACATCCCATATCACCCCACCAGGAGGGCCGCGTAGCCATCACTCGAGTGGCCAACCTTCTGCTGTGTATGTATGCCAAGGAGACCGTTGGCTTCGGAATGCTCAAGGCAAAGGTGTGTATGAGCTCATCCCTCTACAACCCTAGTCCCAGCCTTTGTTCTTTGTCGCTGTGTCCATTCTCCTCCCCACTGCCTTCCTGGAGTCCTTATGTCACTTAGTCCATGTCTGGTGGAACTAGGGGCTGGGTGCTCAGCATTGGGAGTCGACCTGGATTTGGGACCTCTCTCCTGACAGGCCACATGTGGCATTGATTTCTCCCTCTCACAGGCCCAGGCCTTGGTGCAGTACCTGGAGGAGCCCCTCACCCAAGTAGCAGCATCGTAATGGACGTTGGTGGAAGTAGGGGTCAGGCAAGAGAGATGACCATTTCGAGGGGCAAGGCCCCCTCGGGAAACCTTCCTGGACTGTGGGGGGAGGGTGGGGCTTTGTTTTTTTCCAAGAATAAATTTTACTTCTGTCTCTATGCCTTGGCTGCTTTCTTGGCCAGGAGGACTCGGAGGAGATGGGAAGGAGCAGGCATGGCTTACAGGACCCTCACAACCTGCAGGAACAGCTCCCACCTGCTCCTCCACCAGGCTCCCAGCAGCCCAGTGGGTGTGGGCAGTGGGGCCTGAGCTCCCCTGGCCTCTCTAGCGGTGTGACCTCGCTTGACCACCATCACTCAGGACAGAATTTTACTTGCCTCGTTGGCAAAACCTTGGGAGTAAGCTCCAAGGAGCCGCGGGCTAATGGGGGTCATGGGGGCAAAAATAATATGGGGCCTGAGAGTTCACTGTCCTTCAGTCCCAACTTTGGTAAGGTGCCTTTCCTACTCTTTGGGTTAGGAGGGACCACCCCTTCCTCTTCTCCCAGGCATTCACATGCTCACCCAGACCTCCAGATTCTAAAACCCTTTGCAGACAGGATGGCTTTGCTGTGAGGCCTCAGGTCCTGGGCAGCGATCTGAAGAAACCCAGAACATCTCTCAGAAGCTTTCGTCTCTATATCCTGCCCCTGTACTCAGACCCCTCGCCCCATCTGGCTGTTTTGGCCCCTGCTCTTGCCCTACCCAGTGTCCTTAAGAGCCCCCTGCCCAGTGCTGCAGGATGGCATCCATCCTAGGGAAGTGGGTAGGTTGCAAGTTCCAGGTCCACCCAGGGTAAGAAACGCTGCCCCTCCCAGGCCCTGGGCGGTCGGGGGCGGCGGGAGGCGGGGAAGTTGCTGTACTCAGGGTGCAACCCCTAGAGCTCTGCATCGCAGCAGGGTGACTGCCATACTGTCAGCCCCTCCTCGGGTACCTATCCCCAGAGACCCCCAACCAGAGGCTCTAAAGGAAAAGCAGAAGACCAAGTAGGTTTCTGCGCCCTGAGGGACTGATTCTCACTGGCAGCAGGGCCTATCTTAGCCACAGGTCCCAGGAGCCCAGCAACATGTACTCAGTCCTCACCTGGCTCTCTGAAGACCCTGTCCCAGCTTCCCCCATTATCACCCTCTGGAGCCTGCTCGCCTAATTGTGGGAGCCCAATGCCGAGAGCAGACACCCAACCTGTCTAACCTGTCTGACGTCATTGTCTCCACCCACCTGGGCCCCAGGTCTCCAGCTGCCCCGCTCTTCCTGTTCCGTCCTCAGCTTCCTTACAACACCCCCACCTGCCAGAGCTAAGCCTCCCCAGGCCTTGCCTAACCTTAAGTGAGCCCTCAATTCCTCTGCTTTCACAAGTTTCTTTACCCCCGATGAGAAAAGGGGTGGATCCAGATCTCTTAAGAGCCGAGAGTTGAGGGCATTGAGCCAACACATAGACCCGGCACCTGTCTCCGAAGATATTTGCACTCTCCATGTGGAGCCAAGATGGGGAACGGAACCGAGGAAGATTATAACTTTGTCTTCAAGGGTAAGTTGGGGTTCATAAAGAAAGAGAAAGCCTGGGAGAGACCCAGAAAGAGACCAACAGAGCCAGCCCTTCCTCTTCTGTTGTTGTTGTTGTTTATCTCTTACCAGGACCCCCCAGGAGCTCCCCAGAGCTCATCGTTCCTTTGTACAAGAAAGAAAACTGCAAGGGTGGGGGAGGATCTGGTTACTGGACCGAAAGTCAGAATGCTCTGCTGTTGTAAACATTGGTGTTGCTTTCTCTCTAATAGTGCCGAGTTAGGCTCCTACGCCCCGCTCCTAATGGAAGGCCAAATCCCTAGCAATAGTCAGCCAAAGCAGCTGAGAGATAGAGCTCAGACTTCCAAGAGGTCTTCCCTCCTGGGAGGAGGGGGAAACAGGCAGCCTTAAGAGGAAGAAAGGCATCTTCCTGGGAAGATGTACAGAGGAAGAAAGAGGAGAAGTCTATCTCATCATAGGGCAGGGGGAAGACATAAGGAAGATGTAATGAATTGGGAACAGGCCTTAATAGGACTCAGAGGACTCCTAGAGCCATGGCCTTCTGTCTGTCCCTTGGCAGGCAGATCCCTTGGGCCCAACTACCAGGCACTGGGTTCAACTTGGTTGCCCCTGGAAGTGTGCATGTATCTTTCCTGTTCTTTAGTCTAAGCCCCTGTGTTTGGCCCCCTTAGTGTTCCCCACCCCACACCACCCACACCTCCTTCAGGGCAGGTTGGACTGGCAGAGCTACGATTCCTTGTCCAGCCACCCCACCTCACTGCCTCTCCCAGCCTGAGCCCCACCCTCACTTGGGACTCAGGTGACCAGGGGTTGGGGAACCTGTATTCTCAACATCTTTCCAAGGAAGAGGAGACTGGGTAAGGGCTAGCAATAGTCTGGGGCGATAATACTACTAGCAACTACCTTTTATTGAGCTCTTACTATGTGCCAGCCACTAGTTTATTAATCACCATAACCCCAAAAAGCTATCTTTCATGTTGAAGACATAATGGTCAGTGTAGTATAATGGTCAGGAGCCAGAGAGAGTTCAGATTTCAGCCCTGCCACTTACTACTTATTGTAGATTAGGGTCTCCAGAAGCAGAAACTCAGAAGTTTGGGGTGCAAGATGTTTATTATGTATCAACACCAGGGAAAGGAAGGGGAAAGAAACAGGACTGGGCAGAGAGAGAAATTAAACTTCAAGGCGGGATCACCGAGCCTTGGCCAAAGGCAGGGAGCCCTGGATGCAGACTGCCCGGGAGAGGCATGACCTCAGGTGAGGCGCTCTCTGCACCAGAGGCAGATGCTGAAGGGGCAGGGAGCTGGAGGCTGTCTGCTGGCTGCGCTCCTGTGGCTGCGCCCAGTTCTCTCGGGAGGGCCCATCTGGGCAGCACACCTGTGTTTACCACACTAGCTGAGTTCCCTTGCTCAAGGAATTTAACACCCCAAGTGCCTCCTTTCTTTCTGTAAAAATGTGATGATAATAATAATAGTACATGCTTTATGGCACTATTGTGAGGATTAAATGAGTTAATGTGTGTAAAGACTTTAGGGCAGTGCCTGGTACTTCCTAGGGCTCCATAAATTTGGACAATTAGTATCTCCATTTCACAGATGAGGATGAGAAACAAAGTAGCTTCCAAAAGGTAACAATGTCAGCACAAACCCAAGTTTGTCTGATCCCAAAACCCTTGTTCCTAGCAGCTTTGGGGCCTAAGGATAGGGCCTAGGCACCTACCCATGGGGAGCGGTGAGTGCAAACTGGGTCCCCAGTAGGGAAGAGGCAAGCGTGCAAACACCCTCTTACTGCACACACCCAGCACTGCTCCCAGATCTTTCCTTCCCTAATCAAATAAGGAGTTTTTAAAGTTGAAGGGGGCTTTTTTAGATTTTTTTAAATGAGGAAACTGAGATCCAGAAAAGGTAAGCCACTTGTTCAAGATCACATAGCTAGCCAGAGGTTGAGTGGGGACCAAGGCCCAGAATACGTCGTTCACAGTCCTTGGGCACCAGCCTGCCTTTCTAAAACCACTGTGGGCGGCCTCTTCTAATCCTGGATGCTCAGTTTAGTGCCTCTGCAGTTTGTGAGTCTTACTTACATTAGCCTCCCACACTCTACCCCAGATCCTAGCTGCTCACCCATGGTGGGTAAGGCTGGGCCCTGGACCGAGCCCTCCAGCTCAAAGGCTCTTCAGGGCCTTTCTGGTGGATCCTTGTTCCTGAGAACCTGAAGGTAAAAGCACTGGACTACCAGCAGCAGCCATGAGAGTAACAGTTTTGCGCACACACTGTATCTGAGCAATTTCTCATTTACTTCTAACAGTAACGGTAAGACAGGTACTATTGCTATTCCTGTTTTTTGTGTAAAAAAAAAGAAGGTCAGAGAGGCTAATAACTTGCTGAAGGATACACACAGGGGGTCTAACACCCAGCCCCATGCAAGAATGACCCTCCCTGGAGACGAACGGATCCTAGCTTCTTACACACGCATCTGGACCTCCCCGCCGCAGCCGTGCCATTGCCAAACTTTCACCTCATCCACACTTATGTTCATACCTCTGCTCCTGCGCAGACACACACACCACCCCTCCCACTTGTCCGCCCAACTCATATACATAGTAACACGCACAAAGTGCTCATACTCTTGACTCCGGGAATGTGCACCCTCCCCCAGACCTTCTACCATCTCTGTCCACATTCACACCCCTGCTAACCTCTCCCCACAGTCCCTGGACACCAACACCAATGCACAGCTCACAGACATCACCATCACCAGATCTGTAGGCTAACTCTATGGCTTGGCTCATCAGACCAGGCCTGGAACCATTGAAGCCCCTTAGCCGAGTGCAGCTTATGGCCCTTCTGCCTCGAATGGACGTGACCTGTGAAGTTCCAGACCCCAGTCTGTCAGGAGCCCGGGCTCCCTCCTTAGTTTTCTGAGCTTAGTTTTCAGAGCCCGGAGGGTCTGCCCTTTGCTGATGGGCGGACCCTCCAGGCTCAGGTGAGCCTGGGGCTGCTCGGCCCAGCTCAGCCCTTATCTCTCCACTCCTTCAGTGGTGCTGATCGGAGAGTCAGGCGTGGGGAAGACCAACCTGCTGTCCCGATTCACGCGCAATGAATTCAGCCACGACAGCCGCACCACAATCGGGGTTGAGTTCTCCACCCGCACTGTCATGCTGGGCACCGCTGCTGTCAAGGCTCAGATCTGGGACACTGCTGGCCTGGAGCGATACCGAGCCATCACCTCAGCGTGAGCCCGGGGCTGGGGGTTGCTGGGGTGTGGGGGTGTGGGGGAAGTCAGGAAAACTTCTGGAGGAGAGAAGGAGGACGGGGAAGAAGCAAGGGCCCTCAGCAGTGTGCTCCCTAGTGGGATCACAGGACACCGTGGCCAGGCTGCGGACGCACAAGGACTGTGAGCCACACGCAGTCTGAGGCAGGGTATAGTGATACTGATGACAAGGACTAAACCCAGGAGTCATGCCGCCGCTCCCTAAGCCTTTGCTGTGTGTGCAGGAACGTGCAGGCACCTCACACCAGGCATTTTATGCAATCTCCAAGGGACCACAGGACTATGGTG